GAGCCTCAGTTTCCCTCATCTGTAAACTGAGGACAGTAATGGTGGTTGTGAAAATTACAGTGTGATGTGCCTGCCAGAGGAAGAGAGCAGTTGTGGGTTTTGTTGTTGTTGTTTTTAATGAGTCTTTGATAGCCACATATCCTGTTAGGGAGATGAGCCAGTTATTGAGGCTTCTATGAGAACTCACAGCAACACCACCCTATCAGAGGAAAGGGGAAGGGGAAAGGAAAACAAGATACTTGGGCTGATCAGAGGCAGAGGTGGCAATGGCACAACACCTACTGGGGCCCAAGGTGGGCAGGAGCTGCATCAAGAAGGCTGTGATTGGGAATCAAGTTTTGCCCTTAAGGCAGTAGGCAATAAAATGGTTAAACTTATGCTTTTCTCTATTCAAGCCATTCTCCCTTATGCTTGAGGTGTCTCCGGAATTCCAAACCAATCTAGATCTTTCCAAGCATCACAATGGCCAATTCAGTGGCAGACATTTCTGGGGTTCCAATATCTTGTTACCTATCCTTTGTTAGCTTTGTTTATACTGCAATCGGGGAAAAGGGGTCATGTCTGTCTTCGTATGATTAAAATCGCTTAAAATGACTTTTATACATCAGTATGAATTGTTGGTGTTCTTTTTCAGGGGAAAGCGTGAACGGAGTCCCCCACTACCACAAATTATGCAGTCAAGTTTCCCACATTTGGGGAAATCGCAGGGGTCAGCACATTCAAAGTTCAGTGGATAAGCCTTGCCCTGGGAAAACCACCTTCGTGATCATGGTATGCTCCCCTGCCAGGTAAGTATAGTATGAACTGCTCTACTGTTTTAAATCATCAGCAGAAAAATCTGACAAGGGATGTTTTATTTTTCTGTAATTTCTATTTGTTGTTGTTTTGATGCACTTTCCTTCTCCTATCAATTCCATAAAGGAGGCAGTATTTCCAGGCTTCACAGAGCAGAAGACGGAAGCTCACAGACTCGCCTGAGGTTACGGAACTAGTAAATGGTAGCAGGCCTTTTGCTCCAAAGCATGTGCTCTTTCAGTTTCACTTCCTGGGGGCGAGGGTTCAGACCCATGTTAGGATCAGGAAATAGCCTGGGTTTCTAAGGCTTGCTGTAGACAGCTCCCAACTGGCCATCGTGGACTGCCTAGATATTGAGGACTGCCTGGGCAAAGGCCAGAGGCCTATGACCCCGCATGAAGGACCCATCTGCACCCTTCCTGGGGCCTAATGCAGGGACAAGGATGTAAGACTGCTTTTTCTCTGATGTGAGCCTTTGACGCAAACCAGGAACCAGAGGTTGCTCCTATGCTCTCAAAGCAGAGATTTGTAACCCCAATTGCATGACAGAGCCTTTGGGCCCCACACCACCTCTGTGGGGAGAGGGCAGGCTCTCACACTTTTAAAATGCTCCTTAGATGATTTCGATTTGCAATAGGGGCTGAGAACCAGTGCCCTGACCTCAGTTTATTTGGGAGACTCCCAAAATGTGTATTTGCAGAGCCCCTTTAGGGAAGAAGGCTGTTGGATAATCCTGGAAGATTATGGCAGCTCTCCAAGGGGTGTAGCCATAGCCCACGCCTGCCACTCTTAGTTACAAGGGCAGAGGGAGGGAGGGAGTCTGCTGGGAGGTCTGGACTTCTTTGAGATGATGTGTCCAGTTGGGTGCAGTGTAGCCACTATGGGCTCATCCAGAGTGCTCAGGGAATACAGCACTGGCTGGGCTGTGGAGACACGCTGTGTGAATGGGAGCCCTCAGCCCCACTATACTTCCAGAACCTGAAGAGTTTCGGAATCCAGCCTGGGGGCAGTGAGGTGCCATCTCCCTTCCTGTTGGTTGGAGGGTGAGCCAAGATCACTCCACTCATGGTAGTTCTCTTTACAACTGACTTATCCTAACTCAGAACTGCTGACACTTTACACTTTGTAAACCTGTGGTTTTTACATTATTCCTCCTGATTCTTTTTTTCCTAATAACAACTCGTTCACAAGAAAGATTCCCAGAGGCTCTCAGCTCTATTCTGAGAAATAGGTCAAACAACTGAAACCCTATGAGTAAAGCAGGGAGGCGTGTCAAACCAGATGCCAAGACAGCTCAGCCATTTTCCCTGAGAGGTCCCGCTCCATCCCCCCTACGTCCGTTCTCCTTCTGTTGAGGCACAAGGGCTGGGTTTGGTGGGTGAGGTCTCAAGCTATAATTACTGACGTCAGCTTTGGGGTCCCAAGGATCCACTCTCCTGTTATCAGAGCTGTGGGCAATTCAAAATGCCCAGTGCCACACTGGGACCCTGGGCTGTGGGTCCTGAAGAATTCAAACCGGTGCTTGGGGTAGAGGGGGGTGGACTCAAGAAAGACAGGACTGAGGGATGGGCCTCATGAGCTCCAGCCCTTGAGACTGCCACTCCCTGGCTCCCAGAAACCGTGAGATCTAGATATAATGGGCTCAGATGAGGAGACAAGGACAATGTGCTAAGGACCAAGAAGGGCACAGAGAGTCCCCTGAACCCTGTGTGGGCAAGAATGGAGATGCAACTGGCACCAGAGGCTGTTCGAGAGATGTGTCTACCAGAGACAGCCAGGGCCAGAGACAGGCAGAAGGGGCCCCCAGGCAGACAGCAGCATGGATGAAGCCATGGCCTCCAAAGTGAGCATGTGGCGGGGTGAGAGTGTGGTCGACAAAATGACATGAGACCAGGACCAAGGTCATCTTGACTCTTGTGCAGTCCTGATTCATCAGTGTTCTTAAAGCTGCACTCTGGTGAAATTTTGTTGGAGTCTTAGAAGAATTCAGGATGGGTGTATGGCCAAATCATTTTATTAGTGACTTAGAGGATTTTCTCTTTTACCGGGCTAATACACCACACCTAAGGAGTTGGAGCAGCTACCGGATCAGGTTTATATTACATATATATAGACTACACAACACTGGATCAGGTTTTTATATTGTATATATATATAGACTACACAACACCAGCCCCACTAGGTACTGTGTTTCAGTAAATTAAGATAATATTGGTGAGAAGGTGCTGTTTTACATACCATTAAGAAGGAAAAATGTTAATTCCAAATTCTTTAAGAAGGAAAAGAAAAAAAGGGGAAAAAAAAGGAAAAATGGCTGCAAATTCTCTTAAGCTTCCATTGATTGATTAAAAGATGAACCCTGATCTGACATGTTAAAATGTTTGAGGCTGATGCAGAAGGCAGTTTCCTCTGCACAAGCCTCATGGGTGTGCAGAATGGTGTAGACATGGAGATGGGTGCCTCACTTGTCCTATGCACAGACTAGCTCTTCCACCACAGGGCAGGCACCGTGTAAGCACCTTCCATTCCTACACAGGTGCCAGTAGGGGGAACTAAGACTTGGAGAAGCCAAGTAACTTTGCTCAAGGGTCATATAATTAGTAGGAAGCAAGGCCGAGGTTCAGAACCAGGCTGGGCATCCAATGTGCTGAAGCAAGCTACACCCCATCTCACAGAAGAGGCGAAGACACTCTTGGTCCTTGTCAAGCACTCTTCAGGCCCATTTCCTCCAAGATGGTACTAGCTTGGTTTCACAGTTTCATCAGACGGGACCCCTTGTGAGCACATGGCCACGCTCCGGTGAGCAGCCTGCTGCCCTATCCACCTTTCTGGATGGTTCTCTCTGCTAAGCTTGGCTCTAAGAACATGACTGTCCAGTAGCCCCATGGCAAGTTCTGGGGCTTCTCAGACCTGAAGGTGACCATTTTGAGCTCCAGATGTGCCAGGCAGGTCCTGGGTGTTGTGTTCTTTGAAATCCTAAGAAAAGCAGCACTGACTGGAGGGCTGAAGGCAAGGCCCATCCACAGTTCACACACTTGAAACATTGATCCTTCAAAAAGGGTGGGAGGAGGCCAGGCATGGTGGCTCACACTTGTAATCCAGCACTTTGGGAGGCTGAGGCAGGTGGATAACTTAAGGCCAGGGGGTCAAGACCAGCCTGGCCAACATGGTGAAACCCCATCTCTACTAAAAATACAAACATTCTTTGTATTTTTATGATGATGGATGCCTGTAGTCCCAGCTAATTGGGAGGCTGAGCATCACTGGAATCCAGGAAGTGGAGGTTGCAGTGAGACCTCACCACTGTATTGCAGCGCAGCGCAGGCAACAGAGCAGAAAAAAAAAAAAAAAAAAAAAAAAAAAAAAAAAAAAAAGGAAAGGTTTTCCTAAACTTATTAGCAAGAGACCAGGTTTGCAAAGAACCAGGCTCCTGGAACACAGAGGCAACAGTTTGGATGTCCTGGGAGCAGCAGGTGGAGCATCTGTAAAATCCAGAAACCCACAGCAGGCAGGCTGCCAGGCACCTCCAGAAGAGGGACCAGGAAGCCTTTTGTTCAAGAAAGGATTCCAGTCCAGAGGACTGGTAAGCTCCCAAGAGCTGAAGGCTCCCCTTGCTGAGTCTGGTGAAAGGAGGACAAGAAACAGGAGCTCTTGGGAAAGGGGCTGGTTTCTCTCAAGTCAAGACACACAAAGAGAAAGAGGCTCCAAGCCCTACCCAAGGCCCGAATGGTGGCAGGTGGGCTGTGGATAAGGTTAAGGAGGACGTCAGAGGTGGCACTGGCACTGATGCGGCTGCCCAGGGATGAGCCCAGAAGTTGTGGGAGTATGGAGAGGATGAGAGGAAGAGGTGCAGGGCTGGGCGTGACAGCACCACCCCTCATCCGCTCCAGCTTTGCCCATCCAGGAGTTAGCCTGGGGCAGGGGCTTACCTGTTCTAGGCTTCCTTTTCCTCACCTGTGAAATGGGGTGACAATGGAAAGACCTCAGTTACTGTGAAAGTATTTAGTTTCAATCCCCAGTAACAGCTGAAGAATGGCTCCTGGCTTAAAGAGAGGGAACAGGATGGCTTTTTTTAGTGGGGCATCTCTGCGCTACCATTCCAGATACTGCCTTAAATACCCCTTCCTCAGACAGATGCTGCTCTCTTCTTTGAGAAACAAGAATTAAGGCACAGACGGGCAGAATCTGCCCATTACTATCATTTGTGCATTCATTCATTCAACAGACATTTATTAAGCGTCTACAATGTGCCAGGCCCTGGGGACACAGAGCTGGAGAATGTACAGTCCCTGCCCTCAAGGAGCTCACAGTCTGGGGGACACACATGTAAACACATGAGTTACAACGCACTGCGTGAAGTGTGTGGCAGAGGTATAACAAAGTGCTGTGGGGCACAACAGGGCGACCAATGAACTCTTCCTGGGCAGGGGTCAGGGAAGCCTTCACAGATCAGTCAATAAATACGGTGCCATGGGAGTGCCTTGCACACCACCAGCACTTACATCTCGAATGCTGGTCCACTGGAGGCCCTTGGGTTGAGCTGGAGCAAGGCCTGCCTCTGCTTTCTCAGGACAACTTCCCCACCTCTGTCCTGGGACCACCTGCCTGCCTGGGCCTGTAGTGACTCAGGACGCTGCTCCCACTCCAGGGGCCAGTGACAGAGAGCAGCTGTACAGAGGGCCCACCCCACGGGATCCTTGACAGGAGCTGAGACAGAACAAACTTCTGCTTGTCTCCCTACCCTGGGCGCTGTTATATTCCTGGTAACACGTCTGAGCTGGTCTGTGAGGTCACCTCCTCTCTGAACGCTGTTGAGGAGACCCCAAACCCTCTGTCTTTTGCTTGTCTTCTCATGTCGATTGGGCACCGGCCATTCTCAGGCACCAGGGCACAGCCCCACATGGATGCCCCATCAGACAGGGCTGCCCCATCAGACAGCAGCCTCCTACACCTGACCCGGGTTTCTCTGCACACTCACAGCCGTCTCACCAGCTCAATGAGCTGCTGGATGTTTTTGTTTTGGTTGGAGAGGCCGTTCCTGATGTTTTCGAGTAGACATCTCTTCAATTCAAATATGGCTTCACTGTAGGCCAAGCTCACCGCGGCCATGGGAGGTGCTCCGTGCCACAGGCCAGGGATGTGCCAGATATGCTGCTTCTCAGGATCGCAGAAGGCCAGGCCTGCCAGTGCCCGGAAGCCGTCACCCTGTTTCTCCATCTGGGCTGCAGCTCTGCTCAGGTCACCAGGTGGATCCAGGAGCTGTCTCTTGTCTCTTGGCCTGGGGCCAGGAACAGATACATCATGAAGGTTCTGGTATACAAACTGGTAGTTGGGCATGTGCCCTGTTTTTTCCAGCCTCAGAAATGCATGCAGAATAGCTGCTGGAATGTCCTTGGTTTCAGCTAAGCTGATCACGGTGACGTTGCTCAGCCCCATGAGCAGAGTGGCCAAGGAAGCCTCCAGCTCAAACCTGTCCCCAGCTGAGGTCAAGGCCCCACCTATCAACCCCCCGGAGTCTATCACCAGGATGTGGTCACAGCCCAGGTCCTGGCTGAAGCCCTCGGCCACTGTGATGAGCTGCATGAAGGCTCCCCGAGGACCGCAGCTCTTCCCTGTGGCAAACCGCAGCCCAAACATGGTGTTGAGGAGCGTGGACTTGCCTGTGCACGGCACCCCAAGGGCTGACAGGACCACCAGCCTTGAGCGTCTCTCCAGTCGGATGTGCAGCTCCTTCAGGAGCCCCGTGACCCAGCGGACAGGCATGCTCAGGGTGCTCCCATCGATCAGCTCCAGAGGCAGCCCTGTCAGCAGCAGCTCCGAGGCCAAGCCGGGGAAGTGGGCAAAACGCCTCTGGCCTGCCGGCAGCCTTCCTGCCTCCACAAGGCAGCTCTCGGCCTCATAAAACTGTCCCATCTCCCGCAGGAAGTGTTCCACCCCCAGGGGCTCAGGCCAGAGCGGCTCCCCCAAGTCTGTGGGGCCCCCGTGCTTTGGTCTCAGGGTGAGAAGCGTCTCCGGAGGCTGTCTCAGTCTTGGCTGGGCCACCCGCGCCAAGCCCCACTCCATCCACCTCAGGAAGTACTGCTTCTCACTCAGGGAGGGGCTGCTGACCCCCGAGATGAACTCCTGCACCCCCGAGGAGGGATCGTGGCCGTTCTGCTGCATTCGAAGTTCTAGCAGCCGCCGCCTCAGCTCAGCCCTGTGTTTCTCGGGGGGGTCCACGGCCCACTGGAGCTGGCAGAACTCCTTCTCCACTTGGGCTGCCTTTCTCCAGGGGTCCCCCTGCAGCCTCAGCTCATCCCTTCGGTAGGCATCCGAGTCCTTGATTTTCCTGGTAATCCTCTCCATCCGGTCTTTCGCCTTCTGACACTCCTCACAGTCCTCGTCGACCTTTAGGCCCAGCTTGCGGGCTGCGTGTGCCATGTCCTCCACAGACACCCGCCTGCAGGGTGCCCGCAGCACATTCCCGACGATGGCCCGGATCCTCTTCACGAAGCTGTCGCTGTCGGTGCTGCTGACCTTCACCAGGACATGCGAGTGGTCTATTTTCAGCACAGGAATTAACTTATTCAGAAATCTCAGGTTTGTGTTACGTTTCCCACGGTAGGGACTCAGGATGAAGTAGTATTTTGTGGTTGACTCCTTCATGGAGTACAGCAATTTGTATTCCTTCTTACTGATATTGTCAGTCAATATGAACACGGCGGAGGAGATTTCTGTCAAGAGCTTAAACTGCAGCCAGTGAGACCCGATGTCACCTCTCAGGTTCAGAAAGGCCACAGGTTCTGGGAAAATGTCCAGGTCCTCCCTTCCGCTGGGAAAAAACCAGGAAATTTCTACCAACCCATCCGAAATCTCCCGGGCATTGGTACCCAAGTTGAGGTCCCGATGCCAGAAGCAGTCCCACTGCCTGTGGCCTGGGCTGAGGACGGCGTTGAGAAGCTGAGACTTGGAGTTGCTACTGACATCCATGCGCACGAAGGCGAAGGCGGGCGCCCTGGACAAGACCACGTTGTCTTCCCGGAAGCTCCCCACGCCCCTTGGGGGCTGGGACCACCATGTCCTCACAATGCCCCGCATGGCCCACAGCAGAAATGTATGGTAGTGGTTCTCTGAGTCAGGCAACACGAGCGGGAGTGCAAACTGGCAGAGACCCATTTTCAACAGTATTTCTTGTTGCAGGAAACTGTCTGAGGAGAGCAGCAGGGCACAGAGAAGGTCTAAGGGGTTCACTGGCGTGTCCGGGGTGGGCAGCTCAGAAAATGAATAAATGTCAGCAGCAAGGTCATCAGCGGGGTCCCAGTAGATGATTTCCTCTTCCATCTGGCTCTCCTTCTCCACAGGCCTGGCATCTGGGAGCACGTCCAGCACCATGGTGGTATTCCTGGCATCAGCATTGAGGGCCTGCAGCTTCCTGAGGAAATTCCAGGGCAAGTCTTTGGGAACCTGAGGGGCCCAGTTCTTCATGCTGTCAAAACTGATCTGTAGAGAGTCCTGGAGACTGAGTTTCTGGACCTGGTACGTCTCTAGGCCCAAAAGTGACAGCATTTCTTGAAACCTGCTTCTCTCCACTGTGGAAAGAAATGAAGATGTAAGTGCTCACCCTGTGTTTCTGAGCTAGGGGCCAGGGAAGAGCTGGTAAGGGAGAGCTCAGCAGGATGGGAAGGACAGTGATGACCCCTGTCAGAGAGCAGCATGCAGGCACAGGAGGCTCGGAGTGCACTCAAGACTGACCTGAGATCAAGGCAGGGCTGGAACCCTGACATCAAGGTACAAAAAGTACCAACCTAACCATAGATACGTGTGACATTAAAAAAAATAAAAGAAAGAAAGAACAGATATAGAGAAGCTACATTTAACAGCTGGATGAGTTTTTGCAAAAGCCAGATTTCTGGTCTTTCTAGAAACCTGTAAGATCTAACACTAAACTCAAAATTAATTGGCTACAGTGAGCAGCACGTGACTCCTAGCAACTCCTAGCAGCTGAATGCAGGCCTCATCTCCCTATTGTGTTGCTTCTGTGGGCTACTCAGAGTCACCAGGAAGTTCTCACAGGAGGCATAATCACTGAATTGCTCCTCTGGCTTCCTAGTTAATGTTTTGTTTTTGCTTTTATATCTCTCTACAAATAAGTTAGAGAATACTTTACAGGAACTAGAAAGAAATCACTAAGCATAGAAAGCAATCATAGCTACACAACCTTATTAGGCAAACCTGAGATCAATAATGCAGGTTTTCTTTTTTTTCCTTTTTTTACACAGGGTCTCACTCTGTTACCCAGGCTATAGCGCAGTGGCATGATTTTGGTTCATTGTAGCCTCAACCTCCTGGGCTCAAGAGATCCTCCCACCTCTGCCTCCCAAGTAGCTGGGCTACGGGTGTGTGCCATCACACCTGGCTAATCCTTGTATTTTTTTTTGTAGAGAAGGGTTTTCACCATGTTGCCTAGGCTGGTCTCAAACCCAAATTCAAGCAATCCACCTGCCTAGGCCTCTCAAAGGGCTGGGATTATAGGTGTGAGCCATGGTGCCTGGCTACAATGTAGCTTTTAATTTTAAATGTATTAAAATATTCAGTGCAGGCTATTAGTAGGGGAGCACTTATTTGAGCAGATACTCAAGTATCACCCTATACAATGGAAAATCTTATAAGCTAGAAGCTTGGAACAGTATTGCTACCTCTGAAGGTTCCAAGGTGCACGTCTTGGCCCAGCACCTTGCTAATGTTCATGCTGCATATAATTAGTACACTTAAAATTTGTTGTTTCTGTTTGAGACAGTGTCTCACTCTGTCACCCGGGCTGGAGTGCAGTGTATGATCACAGCTCACTCTAGCCTTGACCTCCCAGGCTCAAGTGATCCACCCATTTCAGCCTCTGAGGAGCTGGGACTACAGGTGCACACTATGCTTGGCTAGCTTTTTATGTTTTGTAGAGATGGGATTTTGCCACGTTGCCTAGGCTGGCCTTGAACTCTCCGGCTCAAGTGATCTGCCCGCCTCTGCCTCCCAAAGTGCTGGGATTATAGGAGTGAACCACCACATGCCCGGTCACTTTAAATATTAACGCATGAAACAAATACAAATTCTACTCCCCTGCAGGCTTTTTTCCAGTTCCTTACTCAAGAGAGGAAGCAATGTGTCTGACGCTGCTTTGCATGCTTAGATAAACCATGAAAGGAAACACTAGGTGACCCAGCCCTCTGCCTGTTTCCCAAGAAGGTGACGTGAGGGATTCAAGACCACTTCCCATACGACCAGCAGGAGTCATAGTGCTGGACGCTGGGCTCAGAGTTCCACAGGCAGTGCAGCCACAGGACTGCCCACAGAACACTGGGGACCTATGAACTTGTTACAAAAACAAAAGACCTGCATGGGAAGAGTCACACTGTAGCAAAACACGTGCTACTCAAGTTTCCCAGCTTTGCCTGAATGAAACCAGGAACATTGTTTTTCTTGTCCAGACGTGGAACAACTTTTTATTTTTTAAGTAGCATGGTAGTAAAAGGCAATGGGGAAAAGACAAAACAGTCCCGCCCAGTGTGTGGCCCTTGGCAGGCTGTTTGGAAGCTCTAGGCCCAGGATCTTGATCTGCAAATGAAGGCGTTGGCCCACATAAATGGTTTCCAAACCAGGCCGTACATTAGACTCACTCCAGGAACTTGTTAAAAAATGAAACATCTCTGGGTTTTACCTCCAAACATGCTAACTTATTACAGGTAGTGAGTATGTTGGGTGGTGGGGGGCCTGGTTACTCTACATGGTTAGCAAGCTTCCAAGGGCTTTTTTTTTTGTAATATCATTAATGATGTAGAAGCAGGGCATCCTAAACCTGAGTGCCCTGCCTCCCCAGGTGACTTGATACAGTCAGGTGGGGGAACTGCCAGTCTAGATGATAACCCCCTTTCACAAAACAGAAAGGTAAGGCAGAGAAAATGCTTACCTGTTGGAAAATCATTGTCCTGAGCCTCATTTGCACCATCTATGGAAAAAGCAATGGAAAATGAAGTGTCAATCAAATAATGCACCCTTGGCTGACACAAATTAATTGAAACTAAACCTAGAACCCTCCTTTCTCACCAAGATGGCAACTTCTCCCAATTGTTCTAAATATAAAATCCCGGTTATCTGTCACTTTACCCATTCCCTCTCCCCAATCCGTTTGCAAAATCATGTAGTTTCTACCTCCATAACGGAACTCGCAATCATCTCCTTCCATTTCTCTCCATTCCAAATCTAGAAGAAAAAAGAAACCACATATATTTAATCAGCAAGTTAGCACCTTTCTGTCAAAAATTCCAGTTGCTCATGCCTGTAACCCCAGCTCTTTGGGAGGCTGAAGCAGGAGTGCCTGGGTCCAGGAGAGTTTGAGACCAGCCTGGGCAACAAAGCAACACCCTGTGTCTATGAAGACTTTTTTTAAAAAAAATTAGGCCAGGCATGGTGGCTCATGCCTGTAATCCCAGCACTGTGAGAGGCTGAGGTCAGGATTTTGAGACCAGCCAGCCTGGCCGACATGGTGAAACCCTGTCTCTACTAAAAAATACAAAAATTAGCGTGGTGTCGCATGCCTGTAATTCCAGCTACTTGGGAGGCTGAGACACAAGAATCGCTTGAACCCAGGAGGTGGAGGTTGCAGTGAACTGAGATTGTGCCACTGGACTCAAGCCTGGGTGACAGAATGAGGCTGTCTCACAAACAAACTAAGAAACTAACAAAAATTAACTGGGCATGGTGCCAGGAGCCTGTGGTCTCAGCTGAGGCTGAGGCAGGAGGATTACTTGAGCCTGGGAGGTCAAGGGTGCAGTGAGCTGTGATTCCAGCCTGGGCATTAGAGCAAGACCCTGTTTCAAAAAGAAAAAAAAACACCAAAAAACCAACAAAAAAGGTCAAGTGACAATATGGTGGCTGTTTTAGTGCTATTATTGGTTTTAGTTTTTCCTATGTAAATGTAGTTTTGCCACCAAAAAATACATCACAAGGTAGGAGTAATAGCTACACACAAGACACAGATTTGCTCTAGGATGTATCTTTATAGAATTTTCTAAACTTTGGCAAAATAAAACAAGAATAACCACAAAATGTATATAGATTAACCTTTGCTGTTAGAAACTGTTTAAAATGTGAGTTGACAGAAATTCCTTGACTAGTTAAAAATTCACCACCTCTTATCAATGTTATTTGTATTCCAGCGTAAGGAATTTTTGTAATCACTTAAAATTAAAATGTACTTCAGAGCACAAATACACAGGGGTGACATACAGGGAAAGACACAGTGGGGAGGAGTGGTGACTTAGAAGTAAACTGTTATTTGTCCAGTCTCCAAACATCACGAAGTGTCCATCAACATTAATATCTTAATTACAGAATGTGTTTAATGTAATGCTAGTCAGATATTTACATATGAATGAAGACCGAAAGCTCTCTAGATCTGCTTGCACGCACATAACATAAAGGATAGAACAAGAGGCTTGGGAAGGCAGGAGCAAGACTTCTCAGTGCATGTTTTGACAATTTTGACCTTGATCCAAGTATAAGTAACACTTGGGTTCCAAAATGTTTATTTTTAAAACTTTATAAATGAAGACTCGGATGTTTTCAGATTTACGTTTTCTCATGATTTCCATGTAATCAGACAGATAAACCTAACATTTCGAACTGTCTTCTCTGATGATGTCTCTGGGAGATGGACATGTGAAAAGCAGGAAAGAGAAAAAGGGAAAAAGAAAATGGGGTCCAGGAAAGCATGAGAAGATAAGAAGGCACAAGATCCACACACATCAACCACAATGTCAAGTAGTCCAAAGGTTACTTTATTCAAGTGAGGAAAAGACACCAGAACAAATTTTCCAAGGAATCCAAAATGCCACATGAGGAGAAAAAATGGTTAAGAGACGAGAATGGCAAAGTCTAAAGATGCCAGACATAGGGTTGGGGTGGTTCTGAGAGTAGTTTTAAGCTGGAGTCAGGAGTAACCTCCGGACACAGAGAAAAAATGGCCTTGCTTGGTTGGGGATGGGAAATAGCTCTGAGGTGGATTTAACAGGTGGATGAGGTCAAGGAGGCACAAAATAGTCAAAGACTGAGGGTACCAAACTAAGGAAACCACTGACTAGGGTTGGGAGAGAGCCTGATGTTCTGTAGCCATCAGCAGATTGTGGGACATGTGGAAGACGAGGCAGCAGGGCTCCAGGCAAAGACACAAAGCAGCAAACATAGGGGGCCAGTGAGGGCTAAGCTCCATGAGCCAAGGTCTCCACTATACTTCACGTTGGGCAGGAACTGACCTAACGATGAGATAAGCTCTGACTCAGTGGGAGTACTGGGCTCATATGGAACACGAGGACAGAGTTTAGGCCAGGCCCTACCACCATGGTGAGCCCATTGTTGGAAAGCTCCAAGTAAGGCAATTAAAACCATTTTCAGGCCAGGTGGGGTGGCTCAGGTCTGTAATCACAGCACTTTGGAAGGGCAAGGCGGGAGGATTGCTTGAGTTTGGGAGTTCGAGACCAGCCTGGGCACAAAAGCAAGACCCTGTCTCTACAAAAAAAATTTTAAAAAATTAGTTGGGTGCAGTGGCTCACACCTGTAGTCTTAGCTACCTGGCAGGAGAATCCCTTGAGGCCAGGAGGTCAAGGCTGCAGTGAGCTACAATGGCCACCACTGCACTCTGGCCTGGATGATAGAGTGAGACAAAAACAGAACGAACTATGAAGTAGAATCCTCAGAATTACGTAAGATAAATACATTCTATAGTGTGCTTATATAAAGAATAAACCAGGCAAAACGAATCCATCCTTTCAGAAGTCAGGAACAATGACAGACGAGAGGTCAAGTGACTAGAAGGAGGGGCATGGGTTTTCTTCAGCTTTCTGATATGGTTTCTGGCTTGCATCGGTAAGTTCATGTTTGTGAAAATTTCTCAAGCTATTAATTTGAGTACTTTTCTGAATGTATAGTGTACTATGTTGTTTTTTTTCAAGACACTCTGTTGCCCAGGCTGGAGTATGGTGGTGCGATCTTGGCTCACTGCAACCTCCACGTCCCAGGCTCAAGCAATTCTCCTGCCTCAGCCTCCCAAGTAGCTAAGACTACAGGCGCCTACCACCAACCCCACTAATTGTTGTGTTTTTAGTGACAGAATTTTACCACATTGGTCAGGCTGATCTTGAACTCCTGTCCTCAAGTGATCTGCCTGCCTCGGCCTCCCAAAGTGTTGGGATTACATGCATGAGCCACTGCACCTGGCCTGTATAGCATACTTTAATACAACTTGTTTTTAATCCTATAGGCTTAAAACCTTGCTTTAAGTCTTTAAAATGAAGCATATGCTCAAGAGAAACTCATGCAACTCGTGAAGAACAGTAAAAAATAACCACTGGAGGCTTATTCAGTAGAGAGATACACAGAGATCAAAGTTTGGGGAAGAACCAGAGTGTCTCTGTGCCTCAGTTTCCTCAAATGAAACAGGGATTGAAAAGTACCTTAGAGGTTACTGTTAAAATTAACTAAGACAACCTAGCTCACAATAAGCATCCAATGATGCCATTCCCTCTCCTCATCCCCTCCCCATGCTTTCTTTCCCATTCGTCTAGAGCAATGCTCTCTAAGAGAATCTCCCAAGATGAAGTTCTCCATCTGCAATGCCAAAGCTATAGCTGTTCGCCAGGCAGGCTGCTCAGCAAACACAGCTAGAGTACTTAGGAACTGAAGTTTTAATTCTGTTGAATTTTAAACAATGTGCCTAGTGGTTACTGTGTTGAATAGCATAATTCTAGATGCAGAGAAACTGAAGGGCTCTGGGCAATTACTGCTTGATTCCAATTCTGCTATAAGCCTTGACCAATTGGCCAATCAACCCCATGGTGTCTACCTCCAGAATTTAAGTTCCACGAAGGGCTTTGAGCCTTTTCATTTACTATTATTTACAATATCCCAGTGCTTACAACAATGCCAGTACATGGTAAATACTCAAAAAATATTTGTTTGAATAAATAAAATAGTTACTTTTTTCTATAGAGACAGTGTCTCACTATGCTGTGCAGGCTAGTCTCAAACTCCTGGGTTCAGGAGATCGTCTTGCCTTGGCCCCTAAAGTGCTGGGATTACAGGTGTGAGCCACGGTATCCAGCCTAAAATAAAATTTGATTAACCAAAACTTATTTGCATATTTTTGTGAATTTTTGTTTTTGTGTAACACTATTACTATCCAATAGAATACATTCTTTGTTTTTTTTGGCACTTAAAACAGTTTTTTGTGGTTTTTTAGCACATTCATTTTAAGAAGAACCTAATTTATAAAAGATATATGTAAAATGAGTTACTGGCTGGGCATGGTGGCTCACGCCTATAATCCCAGCACTTTGGGAGGCCAAGGCAGGTGGGGTGGATAACCTGAAGTCAGGAGTTCAAGACCAGCCTGTCCAACATGGTGAAACCTCATCTCTACTAAAAATGGAAAAATCAGTCATGCGTAGTGGTGCATGCCTATAATCTCAGCTACTTGGGAGGCTGAGGATGGAGAATCACTTGATCCTGGGAGGTGAAAGTTGCAGTGAGCCAAGATCGAGCCACTGCACTCCAGCCTGGGCAACAAGGGTGAAACTCGGTCTCAAAACATAAAACATAAAATACAAAACAAAATAAAATGAGATAGTAAGAGAACTAAACATATCTGGAGTGTGGCCACCATACCTTAAAGGTGAATTTACAAAGGGTGGTGTGACAGCCCCACCCCCAAATCCTCTGAGAAAGAAAAACCAGCCTACGTGGATCATAACCAGGAAGACTACAAGCCCCAGTGTGCTCTTGGACAATCCCAATTTATACCTGTTCCCAAAATTACATCCCTTTCACTCTTAGAAGTGCCCTGTTTAGAAGATAAACTATATAGTCACCTTAACTATAACCTACAATGGCAGTTATGCTAAAACTGGGATAATGTGTTTCTGTTAAATTGTGTGATAATCATCTGTTTAACTGAATCCTGGGAATACTTACTCCATTTTCCAGAATAAAGTGCTCCCCACAAAACAAACAAAAGCCCTATTTTGAATATAAGAGGAATGCTTAAAAGACCCTGAGATGGAATCTTCTTGTAAAAGGAAAAATAAGGAGAGAGATCCAAGATGGCTGATCACTAGCAGCTCGGGATTGTAGCTCCCAGTGAATGCGCAGAGAACGAGAGGACACCACACTTTCAGACGAATTTTTGTTGCTCATGCACCAGGAGATTCCCAGCGGAGGAGCCCCACGGGTCACCAGCGCGACTCTTGTGGCTGGCGAGGCGGTTTTGCCGCTGCCTTGGTGCGGTGGTTCTTGGTGCAGAGTCAGAAAAGCACCATCAATCTTTTTTTT